TTAATCATTCATCTTCATTATCCGTGAACATAGTTAACTTGTACAGAGATCATCAGGACAGCTGCTATATTTCAAACTCGACATACGCAGATGTTTCCAGATATTTCATGATTTTGACGATTGAGGGCGATGAAAGCTTTAACATTAAAATTATTGTTTGCAAACCTATACACACTATCCTGAGGGTTTCTACAATGTCATGGCATTTAGAGAACAGTTCATATTTTTTCTATAGTGAATGTAATACCACTATCTGAGGAGAGAGAGAGAGAAAGGGAGAGAGAGAGAGAGACAGACTTTAACCCAGTTTTCGTCTTTTGATAAAACGTCCTACCACTCTCAAAAACTCAGGTTTGTTGACCTCTTCTGGTAAATCTATAGTTTTCTATGCTTTCACCTGCCTGTTTCTTTTTACCCGGCAGCTGTGGCGTTCCCTGCACGTGCCGGGTACCATTATTTCCATTCTGCACTCGGTCTAATTAATTGGTCAGGACCAGTTATTTGACTTTTGTTTGAGCAAAATAATGAAAGGCTGTTACCCATCTCAATTATCATCTTCTGTTTGGTGAATAATGAACTTTTTTTGAGTTTCACTGTATTAAATAACTAAAGGAAAAAAAGTGTTCATTTATTGATTACAATTCAGAACATATCTAGGAATTGGTAATAAATCCTATTCTATTCTAGGACAAAGACACCAAGATACAAAAATATTTCAATAAGTTATATATATATATATATATATATATATATATATATATATATATATATATATATATATATATATATATATATATATATATATATATATATATATATACTGGGTATATATATAGTTGTCAAATATTGTATTTTACACCCCCGCCCCCTCCTTAAAATCAGTACAGTATGCCTGTTATATGAAAAAAAAAAACAACAACTGAATACTGAGTTTATTCTCCAAGTTATAATAATTTGTAATCCATAGTTGCTGTGTCATGCTTCATGAGGACATAATTGGGGGGGTCTATTCTATTCTTTTTATAGTATTATTTATATTGTAAATTACATTTCAGCTTATCTTACATCCCTGATAAGTAGTAAACTGACCAGTCCCTCTTTAACACAGAAACGGTAATGAGACCTTTCTACAGCATTGATAATTAAAATTTAAAAATTTTTAATTTCTTTATTGCATAATACAGCCACATGAGTCAAGCAATACAATCTATCATTAAAAAAACAAGATGTCTTTGTGAAACAACAGACTGTCTGATGCCCCCATATGGCAACTTATAGCAAAGGTTAACTTTTCTCAAATGCAAATCAAATAATTATGTTGGTACCCCAAGTAAGGTCTTGTCTAGAGGAATATACCTGTGAAATATGAAAGCCCCAATAGCAACCATTGAATAGATATGGAGAAGGTTAAAGTTTTTCAAAAGTAAGTCAAACATCAAGGTCAAGGTCAAATGGTCAAAATTAATGGTATCCAAAGAAAGCCTCTCACAAGGAATACACATGTGATATATGAAAGCTCAAGCAGCAACCGTTCAAAAGTTATGGCCAAAGTTAAAGTTTTTCAAAAGTAGGTCAAACAAGATCAAGGTCAAAGTTGTTAGTCTTGTCAAAAGGATTACATGTGTGAAGTATGAAAGCCCTAGCACTAACTGTGCAGAAGTTATGGTCAAGCTTAAAGTTTTCCAAAAGTAGGTCAAACTCCAAGGTCAAGGTCAAAAGTTCAAAGTTGTTGGTATCAAAAATAAGGTCTTGCCACAAGAATAACATATGTGAAGTGTGAAAGCCCTAGCACCAACTGTTCAAAAGAAATGGCCATGGTTGAAGTTTTTCAAAATTAGGTCAACCTCCAAGGTCAAAGTTGTTGGTATCCAAATTAAGGTCTTGTCACAAGGATTACATATGTGAAGTATGAAAGCCTTAGCACCAACTGTTCAAAAGTAATGGCCAAGGTTAAAGTTTTCCAAAAGTAGGTCAAACTCAAAGATCAAGGTCAAATATGATGGTATCCAAAGAAAGTTCTTGTCAAAAGAAATACAGATGTGAAATATGAAAACCATAGCTCCAACCAATCAAAAGTTATGGGCAATGTTAAAATTTTTGCGGACAAGCAGACAGACAGGCGGGCAGGCAGAGCAAAAACTATATACCTCCGAATCTTCGATTACGGGGGCATAAAAACCAGAGAACAACGGATGTATATATACAATAGGCGCAATTTAAGTAATTTACTCCTTCTATGTTACACCGATGTGGACCTTTTATTTCTTAATTCTAATGATTGTTCTTTTATAAAAGTGCAAAAAGACGATATAAACTTCAAGTGTTGGACTAAGTTTATGTTCAAGTTTCTGTATGGGTGATTTGAGATAGAATGAGCATGGTTTTTATAAGTATATTCCTTGCTTTTACATTACAGTTACATTGTAAAAAGAAATGAAATTCATCATCAATAGCATTACATGAAGTGCATAATCTTTGTTATCGCGGCATTTTCTTATGTCTACCAGACTCTGTCGGTAGGCAGTGGTCACTTGTTCGAAATTTAGCAATTGTCTAATCTTGAAACTACATGTACATGTACTTTCAAGTAACCCACAAAGTCTGCAAACTTGCTAGGCGCATCATATGTCAAGTACTTTTTTATTAAATTATATTTAAGAATCTGAGAGTGGCAATATAAAACTTTGTTAATTGTATGTAGAAACTTCCCACTCGAAGAGAACACATTAACATGGTTGTTAAACATAATAAGCTATACATAAAAATCAGATTCACGCATACCAACTGTTGTGTACCGTGAACAAAACTAGCATTGAAAGTTTTCATCAATTCAGATAAATATGCAACAGGTGGTTGAAAAATATTTGTAAACTAAGGATAATCACCAATGAGCCTACAGCTAAAAAAGCCATTAGAGGGCCACCAGGATGAAAAGATAGGAAGAGTGACGCTGTCAATCACATTTTTAAGCAGCCATACTGACCTCAAAAACAAACACTCAGGTAACCTTTTATCTGCATAGGTTTAATTTAGAACAATTTCAACGGGTCTAAACTTGGAAATGAGGCAACCCTAAACCTCCTTTATGAAATAATCCCCGAACAAAGTAAATATTTTCTAACTCGTATTAGCTTAGAATCTAAACAGTTAACTAGAAAGTGAATTTTGCAGGAAAACGCTTTACGCCCACCTCACCTTCTATTTTGTATGTAGGAAATTCCCTTCTAATAATAGATGTGTTGCAATAGATAACCTTGAAGGTTAGGTAACAAAATTCACGAAACAAAAATAAATAAATAAAAATAATAAAATGAAGTAAAAAGAAACTACAGGATTCCCACTTCTTCACAAAAAGTATAATGGAGTTCCAGTTCGTATAGTGTATCGATTCCCCCTTGTCATTGTTTTTTATGTAAATATTCTTCCACAAATTTCTCACTAAAATGTCAAAATCTAAATCTATGCCCCAGGAAAATGACTGTAAATATCATTCGAGGTGTATATATAATTTGCTCACACACCGGAAGTCCTTACACAAAAATGTATATACCAAACGCTACTGGACAAATGTTTATTTTTCATTACGATGTGAAATATTGAGAAATCTATACAATTTTCAATAAGTTGCTAAATAAATACAGAGAGATACCTGAACAAACATTCATAACATTACAATAATGTCCCTGATTTTATTAATATTTTAAATGAGTTTCAATAAATTATAGTTGTTGTTGCAAAGCACTGAGGTACATTTTTTAGTTTCATTCAATTAAAGATTCATCTCTGTCTCATAGATTTTAGAATTTAATCAGTATTTATATATTTAAAACAACAAAGGTCCTTGCACTGAGATAAGCCGTCTGAATATTGTTTCTTAAGTGTATTAATTATTTATCACTGTCCATCAATGATGGACTGCTCATAGTCTTTTCTGTGCTTTGAAGTTGATCCGATTCAGCTGCACCTTACCTCGACCACCAGCGAAGGGAAAAGTGGAAGAATTTTCTCATCATACAAATATTTGCTGTATCAGTGATACAGAAGAAGTTTATTGATATACAACAGGCAGGTCAGATGTATAAAAACAATGTGTTGTAACGGAATCGTGTAACCAGTTCTAAGGGGAACCATGTGTTTTTTCTGCAACTTTCACTCTTCCTTATGGGTTAGATGACATAACTTTTTATTCATAATTATACTTTTGTGTGAGGTCTTTAATTATTTTTCAGTAATTTTGCCACCTACTTCGTTATTTTATGTACGCACTAGCATTGGTTTCCCAACCCTATAGACATCAGTGGTGCAGAATTTTAATTGTGGCGACAACACAATTCGTCAACAGCCATGTCCAAATCAATCAGTATGCAGAAAATAACATGTAAACCGTGAATAAAAAGCTGTTTTTGGAGCGCAACATTTCCGTTACAAGAATTTTTTTCAATGTATACTAAGTTCACACGTGCAATTGATGACAACAATAGCCAGGTAATCCATTGTCACTTCACACAAAATTAAGACGAGACCCCAGACAACTGAATTAAATTTCTGAAATAACAGAGGTTTGTCAAGGGACTGTGATGTCTGGAATTATTTAACTAATTTTAATGTTTTTCTTTGCTGAATATATATGCTTTAAACAGTATTTTATTAAGAAACGTCGGATAGTTCAATTTAAACATCTGTAAAATTCATCATGCGGAAGAGACTGTCAAAGTAAGCATTATAGTTATTCAATACCACAATGATGTATGGATTTCAAAGATTGCCTTACATCGAGACAATTGAGATTCCTTTAACATTCGTTTAAACGTGTTGTTGACACAAGCTGGAAATTGCTGATACAGGTAAACAAAGTATGAATGAGATTCAGGTGTGCATTATCCCAGCTGTAATACACAGGGCCCCACATTCCTCTAACAGTGTTTAAGGGAGACGATTGGTGTAAAGAATAAAATGGGCGGAGCTTTCACCAACTGGTCGGATAGGCTTACTGTTGCTACCGTTTATTCATAAGAAGAGAACGTCCATTGAGAAAAGAACAGATTATTTCATTCCCACGCCGTCTTTATCATTTAAAATTCAACGGTCAAAAATACAAAGAAGGTAAGTGCTCGGTTGAAATTTTCAAATTTAAGTCAACTCTTCAACAAGTATTTTGTCTGATATTACACGTATTTAAGAATTGTGCATTTTATTTTCAGGCAACGGAGGTTTTAGTATTTTCAAAATTAAAACGAGGATTGAGCTTATATTGATGATAAAATGGATTACACGATTCTCTTCTTATGTTTGTGTGCCACGACAGTAGTGGCCGAGAACGACCAAACGGAATGTACAGCCAATGAATACTTCAACACAGAAACAGCTGAATGTCTCCCCTGCACTCTGTGCCGGGCTTCAAACACCATTATCCGTGTTCCATGTTCAGCTATTGCTGACACGGTGTGCGGACCCTTCATAGAATTCGACAGATTTCATCAGGCGCCCATCATCAACCTGTTGCCTGCAGACAATGACACCACTAAAGTGTTGGTAACGGGGCCTATCTCCGGGGGTTCATACGAGTCCACCAAGTCCCAGGGCAGCGTCCCGGTGGAGAGGGTGACTGATGAACGATGGTACACTCTGGCCATGGCTCTTGTCGGTGTCCTGTCTGTCGTATCAGTAATAATCATCGTCTACATCACCATCTACTGCTTTGTTTGCAGAAGACACAGAGAAGAAAAAGAACTCATTTATTATCCAGGTAAATAATCTTCCAGATACTAGTAAATAATTTATTATCCAGGTAGAAATAAATATCTGATTTAAAAATTTCTGAATTATGTGGCAAAATTATTCAATTTGAATTCCAATTTGAATGACTAACCCTGGCATTGTTTCAGATAGGGTTTCAATCAGTTCGATTGTCAGATTATATACTATTACAAAAAGATATAGCTCCTATTATTGCTGTGTAACTGTGAAAAAATGCAGGTTAAATTTGGTAGCAGTTGGTACGGCATTACCCGCTCTCAAGGATGTACGCTGATGTTATTTTGTAAATGGTTAGTGGAAAAACGATTGTGAATGACTGCATGATCAAAGTACGAGGAACTGAGCTTCAATAGTTAGCATTCGCAATGAGTTGAAGGCACTGGTGCCTAAACACAACTTTATTCTAAGTAGCTTGTTTTATAATTACTATTACGTAAACTAGGATGAGGTGCTCATTAAAGTTACTGATTTTTCCCCTTTTTAAATCGTTGATGGATTTTCAAGAGGGTCTTTGGCAAAACGTGTCGTTTTCTAGTAAGAAATTGTCAAAGCTGTGTTTCTGTAAATTTTTTTAAAAAAATATACAAGTCAACAATTTTTTTTTTGAAATAATTAGAAACATTCCTTCCATAGTGATCTTTGTAACCTGAGATCTAGATTGACCTTAAAGCAGATCCTAATATTTGAAAATTACAGCAAGTCGAGCATGACGATCAAGAACAACCCCTAATTACATACATTTGGCCACCATGCATTTTAGATGAGTCATTTTTCTTTAAAAAAAAAGAAAAGAAAAGAAAGAAAAACAGACCATAATGCAGCTACTCGAAGTACACTCACATGAATACAAAACCCCCAAGATATTTGGGGATGGGGATGTATGATTAACTAGCAGTGTTGTAACTTTTGTTTTAAGCAAAATAAGCCAAGTATATATGTATATGATGTCAGTTCAAAAATTGTGCTAATTTATCGAACCCTGAGAATTGCAGTCTACCCTGATTTGGTAATTTTGACTCTGGAAAACGGTATATGGTTGTTGTTTCAATTTGTTGCACATGAATGAAATATTTATCTACAGTGTACGCCGTACGGGAAGATAATTGTAATGTTATCGGGTGAATCAGAACTGAAGAATTTTTTTGCTACAGGCAGATAAAGCTTTACGCTTGTTTTGACTTTGAAACACAGTAATTCTACTCCGGTGGTTTATTTGCCTTTCCAGTCAGAATACACGGATTCCCACACATTTCAGACCCGTAGGAAGCAATTTCTGTTTTGGGGGGAGTGCAGCCCCAAACATTCGTAGACAAGCCAAAAAAAGTTCATCAGATGTTAGACGTTTTTATTTAAGTGATACACCGTAAATTATCTTTGTTTTGTATTGTGCATTATTATTGTATTGTACATTATTATATATTATTATATTGGTAAAATTATTTGGGGAGAGTCCAAGGGGAAACACCCCCCACGGTTCTTAAGGGAGAGCCTTTACATATCCAGATAGTTCTTCCCTTTTGTAGTCTGTCTATACTCTAACTTATAAATATATATTTCAAACGGGTTTTGTAGAGCTATGTACATCTGCTCCAGAAACACCAAGAGTATTGACACCCAGGATGACATCACGTGATCGGCTAAAGAAACACATGATTACATCATACAGAGAAGAAACTGGCGATACTTACGGCGCAACGTCAAACCAAGTGGTTGTCTTGGCCAATGGGTTCGAACCATTTCTAGCTCCCTGCGAAGCATCAACAGACAGCGACGAAAACAGTGGACAAACCATTTCTTCGTCTTCAACAAATTATGTGTATTTCAAAGCACCACCTTGTGCCAATGTTTGACATGTTTTCAAGTGACAGGGTCTCATTTACAAATGTACATTCCAGGAGAGTGTGTTATACCGTCCATATGATACTAACCGAGATTGAAAATATATCGTGTTCAGATTTGTACATATTAATATTGAGATTATTATGTTTGGTGCATACGTGCACAATATCATTGTTATTACGGTACGATGGACACCGATTATGACACTGTGTAGCCAATTCATGTATAACTTTGCATTCAAAAGAGCTGGTTTTGAATTTTTACACAGTTCACACATCCGAAAATCATTCATCACACAATCCAGTGACCGTGTTGAATTGGTCACTAAAGGTGTGGTTAAAGAACCCTTCATATGAGTGGAAACTGTGGACTGAAGTGAGGGACCTTAATCTGTTTCCTGCTTGATTGTGACTCCCGCTGACTCTGTGGACAATGCTGGTCAGCTACCCAGGCCCGAGTGACCCCGTGACCTGGGAAATCGATGTCCATTTATCCCTGCAACCCATCATGACTCAGGAAAGGTAAACAGCCTGTAAAGTCTTTATAATTCTTTGAAATTTAAAGGATTTGTGCCGAAAATGACTTTTATAGATTAAGAATGGACATGAAGGATTTGAATTCTTTTTCTAAATTGTCACTTTAATCTCTTGGGGCAGAGAAAAGCCATTGGAAATCCATTTTGTAAGATTGATGGCAGTGACAAAGTTCTAAATTTTCCCACATTTGCCATATAAACACATACTTTTAAAGAAATAAATGTAGATACCGCTGAACTTGCTAAAGTGTTTTTATTTTTTTTTTCCAGATATTTCCAAGGCTTTATTTATGTACATAGGAGATGTGAGCCCAGTTAGTTTCATATTCGAGAAGTCTACACCTTTATTAAGAGACATGCACTTAAGTCATAATAATGATGTTCAATTAATATGCACTATACAGAATTTTTTATGTTTATTTTTTTTTCTTGTTTTCACAATACACAGAAGTGATAAATTTGCTTTTTTTCTGTATAATTGTTCTGTTTAATGTGTAACGTTTGAAGTTATTTCAAGATACTAATACTGTATGTTCACTAAAAACAATTGTCTTGCCAAAATATATTTGTACTTTAGAAAATAATGTGATCGTTTTTCGCATTTTTCATTCAGTCGGCTGTGATATAACCTTTGTATATTTAAATGTATATACATGTATTTATTTTTCTAAAAGCTAGCAGGCAAAACGTACCAAAGCATTCATGCATCGCTTTTTCTGAAAATGCATATGAAGCTGTTCTTAAATAAAATATTTGGAATTAAATTTTCTTTTTTAATATTTCTGAAGACCATATTTAATGTTTTGAGGGCAAAATTGAAAACATTAAGATTCCTTGGGGTCGGCTTTGAATTAGAACGGCCATCCAAAGAGTCTGCGCTCTCTGTTACCCGAGCCACACACTGAAACAAGACGGGAAGTTAGACGAGTTTATTTTTCTTTGAGATAATTTTGAATGATTAGAAGGGGGATTTTTTTTTTGGTAATTTTGGAGAATCCTTGCACATTCCACAAAGTGAAACATCCCTGGCAAGGTTATAATGCTGGCAGAGACTGCGTCGACCTCGGCCATTATTAGCAACATAGCCAAATTAATCTGACATTTAAATGCAGGATTATAAAAGCATTGAAACTAATGTCAGTTCTAAATTTCCACACGTTTTGTCATGAAAAAAAAAATGATTTTTGTTTTTCATATGATTGTATTTCTAACTAGCATCTAGTGAAGAACTGTACTCGTATTATCCTAATTTTTCTACAGATATTAAAAGTGCATGACGAACCTTTATGAAATTCCCTCCAAGGAACTCAATATTTCGATAACTGTTTCATGTTTCCGGATGCACAATAATTTATTAAGAATGTGGAAATATTTCATATACATCAGATGGCCCTTTGATATTCGCGTGTATCAGCTGAACAGCGGAATGAATGTTCTGTCTGTTTTAATTTGACGTCTATCAGATTTTACATCTGCCTTATCTCCTTCAGCATATTCTTGTATGACTAAAGTCTTTGTAATCTTAGACATATCAAAGTAAGTAAGTACCACGTTTCTGTTAGTAAGAGGACGAGACAGGGCGTGACAATTGCTCGAGTTTATCACGAGATCAGGTTAATAATATTCTCCCCAACACTGTGTCCATTGTTGTACAGAGATGTAAACCAACATCTTTGTTTACAGAATGTGCATCAAATTTAGAAATAACGAGACGCAGAGTTAACCTCCTTGCTGTAGCCCCTCTTTGTTCATTATCCCGTCATTGTTTATGTTTATAATATTTATATTCCTTTTTTCATAAAGGGGTCAGCATAAGTAACCAAAAGGATTTAAAAGACACAAAAAAGCTGTAAAAGATTTTTCTGAGTCATGATACTTTGGTCATCGTTTAATTTATTTTTCCTCTTTACTTTGGTATCACTGGATATTGGACAGTTCTTTGGAGAATGCAACAAAGAAATTTAAAAAAGGGGAGGGAGGAGGTTAATACGCCGTCAGAAACGGGACAATGGGACACTTCAAAAAGATTAAATTCTAAAAAGGGGCGAAATTGAAATTCCA